CCCTAGCACCTGAGAAGTTAGGAGCTAGAAGCACCTTGTGCTACTTTGTAGGATATCCCACAGAAACTAAGGGATACTACTTTTACTACCCTGAGGACCAAAGAGTTATTGTGTCCAAGAATGCTACTTTTCTTGAGGAAGAGCATCTTTCTCAAGAAGATAGTGGGAGTAAGGTAGAACTTGAAGAAATTCAAGACCTACATGAACAGATAAGGGAACCCGAGTCTGTTGATCAGGCGATGCCTCAACTGGAGGCAGTAGACACCCCGCCCCGTAGGAGCACTAGGTTTAGTCATCCACCTGAGAGGTACGATTTTGTGATTGAGAATCAGCAGACCGTTGAGGATGACGAGCCTGCTTCCTACAATGAGACAGTCAAGGATGTTGACTCTTCAAAATGGCAAGAAGCCATGGAATCCGAAATAGATTCGATGCATCAGAACAAGGTATGGACCTTGGTTCCACCACCTGAGGGAATAGTTCCTATTGGGTGCAAGTGGGTTTTCAAGAAGAAGACTGATGTTGATGGCAACATCCAAACCTATAAAGCTAGGTTGGTAGCAAAGGGTTATCGTCAAAGACAAGGAATTGACTTTGAGGAAACCTTCTCACCTATTGCCATGATCAAATCTATTAGGATCATGCTAGCGATAGCTGCATATTAGAATTATGAAATTTGGCAAATGGATGTCAAAACCGCCTTCTTGAATGGGTTCTCGAAGGAGGAAGTATATATGACTCAACCTGAAGGTTTTGAATCCAAGATTCAAGAGCATATGGTATGCAAACTTCAAAGGTCAATATATGAGCTTAAGCAAGCTTCCAGGAGCTGGAATCTTCGTTTTGATGAAGTCGTTAAGGATAACGATTTTATCAAGAATGAGGATAAACCTTGTGTCTACAAGAAGGTTAGTGGAAATGTTGTTGTTTTCCTTGTGCTATATGTAGATTACATATTGCTCATTGGAAATGACATTCCCATGTTACAGTCCACAAAGGTTTGGTTGTCTGAGAACTTCACCATGAAGGATATGGGAGAGGCAGCCTATATACTAGGTATTAAGATCTATAGAGATAGATCCAAAAGGTTGTTGGGATTGTCCCAATCCACGTACATAGACAAGATGCTAAAGAGGTTTAGCATGGATGGATCGAAAAGGGGTTTTCTTCCTGTCGGTCATGGCATTCATCTCTCTAAGACTATGTGTCCTAAGACACCTGTCAAAAGGGAACGCATGGAGAGGATTCCATATGCACCAGCAATTGGATCTATCGTGTATGCCATGCTATGTACTAGACCAGACGTCTCTTATGCTTTAAGCATTACGAGCTGATATCAGTCTGACCCTGGAGAGAGTCACTGGATGGCCGTGAAGACAATCCTTAAGTACTTGAGATGGACTAAGGACTTGTTTCTGGTTTATGGTGGCAGTAATGAGCTGATAGTGAAGGGGTTCACTTATGCAAGCTTCCAAAGTGATAAAGACGACTGTAAATCTCAGTCGGGCTTTATATACACCTTAAATGGTGGAGCAGTTTCTTGGAAGAGTTCCAAGCAAGAGACCACGACGGACTCTACTACTGAGGCATAATACATAGCGGCTTCAGAAGCGGCTAAAGAGGAAGTCTGGATCAAGAAGTTCGTTACAGAACTTGGAGTGGTTTCGAGCATTGTTGATCCAATACCTTTGTATTGTGACAACACTGGTGCTATAGCTAGCTCAGGGCAAGGAACCCCGGTCTCATCAAAGATCCAAACATGTGCTCCGTAAGTATCTCCTCATCCGAGAGACTATTGAAAGAATGGAAATAAAGATGGATTACGTCCCCACTGATGATAATTTGGCTGATTCTCTGACGAAGGGTCTCTCCCAGAGAAAACATGATAGTCATTATGAGTCTTTAGGTTTGACACGTCGACCTGATTGGCTCTAGGTCAAGTGGGAGATTGTTAGTATATAGGTGTCCTAGAGACAATCTGTTTTATCAGATGAACACCTTTTTCTATTTGGTATTTCATGATTAATAAATTTGAGCAAACTTTATCTTTATCATATTTATGTCTCGCCAATATTTTATTGTTAATATGCGTTTAAGGATAAAGACCCTAGGAATATAACAGGTGTTCACTCGAGGATCTATGATAGGGACCATGATCATGAGGACTCGAGGACACTGAATGTCTATTACCTAAAATCTGTTCCTGGTCTTGAATAACCAAGAAAGGGTATTGATGATCTCAATAAGACTAGTACGACATCATCTACTTATATGGAGATACAAGGTAAGGACCTCATGGAATGCAGGCATGCTGATGCCTTAGCTGATGTCGTGGGTGGATCTGTTGGAGAACAGATAGCACTGAACTAACCCGCTTAGAGACTCCACAAGGATTCATTATAGAGAGTATCATTGGATTTGAAAAGTTTCTGAACGTTTGGTAGTGCGGATCGTCCTAGACTTTAAGATGTCATCGAATACTATGTCCTAGAGTTCTACTTTGACTGTACAACTCTATCCGCCTGAAAAATAGGGAGAACAGTGTACTCTTGGGTATAACTTGAATACATGAGTATAGATGGACATGCCGAAAGGACTCACAATCCCCTATAAGGGATTAGTCGTTCACAAAGACCGGTAGGGCTGAGATTACTTCTAGTTGACTCGGGAATCTATGCATAGTAAGAGATCATGAAGAGTCATGGTCTGGCTTAGAGTCAATAAAAGAAGATTCCTAGTTCCTGTGAAATATTATATTTAGTCAATAAAAAGAGATGATACTCTATCCTTGCTCTCGACTAAATGTGAATGGCGATGTGAGGGATAATGCTGGCACGGTATCCAAATCAGAAAGGTAGATCACTTGATCAACTCAATTAGTTCTGGGGCTACAGAGCATTGCTAGTGTATCATGTAGTCATTAAATGGGTTGGGCCTGTTAAAGGAGTTTAAATGGTTCAAGTTTATTTATGTCAGTAACTAATTGGGCTTAATGGGTCACACACAAAGGTTATTCCTTATTGCAAGTTATAGCAAGTTTGGACCAATAATGAGTTATTGGACTTTGTCAAGACTATAAGTCAAGTTGGGTTGGAGTAGGGACTCCAAGCCCACTTGATCCATGCGCCCTTTTGGGGCATTAATGGTGAAAGAGTTTCCTCCACTAATGGGCCCAAATATGATGATAGGCCAAAGAAGCCTTGGGGCATGAATCCTAATAAGTCAAAGAGTTGACTTGACCAAAATAAGGTTTGGGCAAATTTGAAATTTGAAATTTGAATTTTTGAAATTTGAATTTTGAAATTTGAGTTTTGAAATTTGAATTTGAATTTAAAATTTAAAATTTGAAATTTGAATTTCGAATTCGAATTACGAACTGGGATAAAAAGAATTTATATTTGAGTTTAAATTTCAAATTTGAATTTGAAATTTGAATTGGAATTTTAAATTATATGAGGTTAGGTTGTTGAAAATAATTTAATATTATTTAAAGGAATAATCCAATAGAGATTGGAAGGAGATTCTCTCAACTACTCTTTCATTTGAATTCGGAATTTAAATGAATACCGATGCAACAAAATTTCTGAGGAAAGGAAAGGTATTAAAGAGGCGCATAATTAAAGGGAGTGAATCAAGGAACGTCCCTCTCATCATTCAATATGTGCGCCTAATTAAAGGTGGCTGATGAGGGGCGCCTAATCAAGGGAGAAAATCAAGGAAAGTCTCTCTCATCCTTTTAATGTGTGCGCCTAATTAAAGGGAGCTGATGTGGGGCGCATAATGAGATGGAGAAAATCAAGAAAAGTCTCTCTCATCACTTTAACTTGTGCGCCTAATCATAGGAGGAGGGGCTTATGTGGTTGATCAGTTTTTTATAAAAACCTGATGCACCATCTCTCCTATGTAGGTGTAGAATTCGAAAAAAAGAAAAAGCTCCAACATTTCCTTCTCTCTCTTGTTGCACCATCACCTAACCTCAAGACACTAGCCTTGAGAAAAATAATCCAAACACTTGGTAGCCTCTTTCTTGCTTGCGCCTAGCCAGCCACCGAGGATAAGGAGGGATTAAGGAGAAATAGTTCTCGTTTGCAAGAAGGAGATAATCGTGTGGATCACCATTGGAGGGCGTCATCTTTTTGCGCCTACAAGTGTAAAGGTAATTCTGAAACCCTATTTCGTTTCAACGAAAAGCATTCATACATGTGGTGTATAGATGGTCTATGTTTTCGCTGCGAAAAATTTTTGTTTTCCACCCATCTATGTGCACCATGGTATGACTATGGTGCAGTCTTTCGAACCTTTCAACACATACATACACTGTTAATCTGTAAAACTTTTTAAATTTTAAATGATAAATATTTTTTATTCGCACAGATTTAGGTCTTTGCAATAAACCGTAAATAGCTTTACCAGCTTAACTAGCTTGCACTTTGATAGAACAAAAAAATCAAATCATAAAATAGAGATTTACATTATAGCAATGCTAATATATTGATTAAAAAAACTCCTATCCACACATTCAGAAAAGAAAATTCGTAAAACTGTTTCAAAATATGTTTTGAAAATCAAAAAAATTATGAAAAGAAGAAATTGCCCTCAATATCTATGGCTTAATTTGGGAGAGTTGAATTTTCTCTCTGCCACTCAGAGACCCACACACATGCTGGCCTAAAATAATCTTTTCTAATTTTAAGCCTTTTGTTTCAAAGTAACTTTATCTGCCTCTCACTTCTAGTTCCCATTATAAGTAAATATTTCTTTTTTCTATTTTCTCTATGAAATTTCCCCTCTTCAAATTTTTATCATTTATCATTCTTGAGTTTCCCATTATAGATTTATGCCTCATCAAATGGTTGGTTAGACCCTTGTCGTTTTTGCTTCTAATTGTTGTCTCAGCTATATGGATTCTACCGTTTGGTTGTGATTAAAATTGGGTTGTTTTCATTTATACTTTACATGGAACTGTTTCATTTTTTAGGTTCCTCCTGATTCTAGTTTTGGATGATTGAATCAAAGTGTGGTTGTGATTATTGATTACTGTGGGTAGGAACCCTCTACCCTTGAGGTATGGCAGGCATTAATGTCTCAGCATATGCTCATAGCTCTGTGCACAAGGCCATGATATTGAAGGATTATACAGGTCTTAAGGAGATACTTGCAGGTCTTCCAAAACTTAGTAATCCATATGAGATTAAAACTGAGGCTGCCTCAATAGCCGAGGATGAGAAGGCTGCTGCAATTTCTGCTGTGGTGAATAGGAGGGATGTGCCAAATGGTGACACCCCTCTTCACTTGGCTGCAAAACTTGGTGATGTTGTAGCCACTGAAATGCTCATGGTTGCTGGGGCAAATGATAGCTTGAAGAACAAGGAAGGATGGAGTGCTCTTAGAGAAGCTATCATTAATAAACAAGATAAAATAGCAATGATTATGATTAAGCATTCTTGGAATGATTATGATGAAAAATGGCATAGAAGGTTGCCTCGTTATGTAGGGACCATGAGAAGGATGAGAGACTTTTACATGGAGATTACATTCCATTTTGAGAGTTCTGTAATACCTTTCATCTCAAGGATTGCACCCTCAGACACTTACAAAATTTGGAAAAGGGGTGGGAATATGAGGGCAGATATGACTTTGGCTGGTTTTGATGGTTTGAAAATCAAGAGGTCTGATCAGAGCATTCTTTTCCTTGGTGATGGTTTAGATGATGGGAAGAAAATCCCTGGATCAATGTGCATGATCTCACACAAGAAGAAGGAAGTTATTGTTCCTTCTTCATCTTCTGAAGCTTCAAAACCAACTGCAAGAGAAGTTAGGCATATGTTGGCTAGAAAGTCCAAGGCTAAAATAGTAAGGGTTGGGATTGATGTGAGTCAAGCAGTTCTTGTTCCACAGTATACATGGAGGCGAAAGGAGAGAAAAGAAATGGTGGGGCCATGGAAAGCTAAGGTGTATGACATGCAAAATGTGGTTCTAAGTATAAAATCAAAAAGGGTTCCTGGAGCTCCAACTGAGGCCAAGTTAACTTGTGAAGAAAGTAAAAAGGACAATGAAAAAATTAATGAGATTTTGACAGAAGAAGAAAGAAAGCAATTAGAAGCCGCATTGAATTCATCAGATGAAAATGGTCATAAAAATAATGTAAAGAAAGAAAACAAAGGAAGGTTCGGTGGACATAGAGAAAAGGAGCACAACAAGGGAAAAAACACAAATGCAACTTCTGTGAGTTGTAGCCAGAAGGATGAAAATGGTGAGAGTGAGTATAAGAGAGGGATGATGCCTGTTCTTTGGCTTTCCCCTAACTTTCCACTAAATATTGAAGAATTGTTACCAATGCTTGACATTCTTGCGGAAAAAGTTAAAGCAGTTCGTCGTTTAAGAGAACTCCTTACCACAAAACTTCCAAAGGAAACCTTTCCAGTCAAGGTTTGTGCTTGTTTTATTCTTCTTTTTGTCTTTTACAAGTCATCTTAATTGTTGCATGTAATTTTGAAAATTCCATGTTATTATGTTTGCTTAGTTCTTTCCATCTTGTTTTCTTTGATGCACGTTATGGTAGATATTGTGTGTACTATTTTGCTGTCCCAAGATTGAGACTTAGCTGATATGAGCAACTGAGATGAACTTATCAAAGCTTGATGGCTAGTTGTCACCTCCTCGAGCGAATATTTCATGAACATTATGAGGAAGCTTTAGAGTGCCCTGGTGAAAAATGAAACAGGAATAGTTTCTAACGATTATCTTGCCCTTCTCGTTATCTCAGCTTGCATGTGGCAATGAATTTTTATGATTGAATTGTGAAAAACTATAAAAAATGTCATCTAGACATCGGATATAAGTTGGTTAGATCTAGTGTAGTTCTTCAAAAGCTAGCAGTGTGTTTATACAAATAACACACTTTTTGTTCTGTTAAAGACAAATGATGTGCTTGGTAGGATGAAAATGAAAGTATGAATTAAAGGGTAAAGGAGGGAACATTGAGAATGTATCAAACCATACATCATAATATGAAACATTCATTCCTAGGCTTCCCCATCTTTCTCTTTCACTTTTATCAAGCACTCCTTAAAATTTTGTTGGTGTGAGAAGCACAAAACTCTCGTTTAGAGAAACTGCTCAAGGAAAAATAAAAGTTTGTAATTTCTAACTTGATAGAAAATCAGAGCTATATTTTCTTTTATGAATTAAATGAAAGGATAATGAACTTGTTAATACATGACTCAAAAGTTTGAGAAAGAAGAATTCAACTAAACATAGAGTTTGCTCAGGAGCTTAGCTTTCCATATGAATTTGGCTTGAAAAGGCTGGGATTCACTGTTGAATGGATAGCAATGGTTCAACCACCTTCACTTAATATGGCCTTAGTATGAGAACATCAAAGATTTTGTTAAGAAAATATAAATTCTGTTTAGAATTAAGGAAAGGAAACACAAATGGAATAGAAAGATGGTATTGTATTCAATTCAGAGAAAACGGAGTAATTATTGAACCTTGGCTGCTTACAATCCAGAAACTTAAATAACAACAGAAGAAGAAACAAAGATAATTTCTGAGTAATGTGTTTTAATATTCATGCTAACTGACCACTGGCAAACCCTTTTTGATTGGTAAAGTTAAAACAGCCTTCCTCTTTACATCTAATTGTCTTTCAAATTGTGACCGAAAGATCGCGGGTTCGAATCTGCGAAACAACTTCTTTGTATTTACATGCAAGGATAAAGTTGCATACAAAGATTGTTCTCACCTCTACCCTCACTAACCGGGTTTTAATGGAGAGTGATTTATGTCAACGTGTAAAGAAATACAAATTGATGAAATATGGGTCTTCTTTTCATCAATTTGATTACTTGTATTTGTCCTTGACGTATATTCCTTTTCTAATTTTATTGTATAAAAGGATTTGTTTTTAATCATGTTGGTTCATAGGATTAAAAAACAAAAACTAATTTACACTTACATTTTTTTTTTTTGGTTTCTTTTTTTTGGTCAATATATATGATCATAAGGGGGGCGAATCGGAGCAGTGATAAAACTGTTCCTTCATGACTGAAAGGTCATGGGTTCGAATCCAGGAAACAGCATTTTTGCAATTATGCAAGACTAAGATTGCATACAAGGATTTTCTTCGTCCACACTCACTAGTCGGGTTTAACGGGGAGTGGTTTTTTAATATATATGATCGTAAACTCATTTTATTGCCTTTGCAAATTCAGGTTGCTATCCCTGTGGTCTCTACAGTTAGAGTATTGGTAACATTTACAAAATTTGAAGAATTACAACAAGTAGATGAGTTTGAATCAGCACCATCAAGTCCTACTGGTGCCGGCCAAGAGGATCAAGCAGTGGCAGAATCCTCATCATCATGGTTTCAATGGATAAAGGCCCCCAGTTCATCTGTTGCTGAATCCAGTGGTAGGGTAGATAATAGACAAGACCTGTTTGCGATTCCATCAGACTATACATGGATTACTGTTGATGCAAAGATGAAGAGTCACGAAAAGAACAAGCCAAAGGCACAGAAGTCATAATTAATTAGGCTGAAACATTAGCAAGCTTCGTTGCCTGAATGATACTAGAATGTGCACACAAGTTTCCGAAATAGGAATACTAGTACACTAAACTCATGAATTTTGTAAAGATGAACCAAAACTTGAGACATAAAGGTGTGTTGAGGGCAGGGATGGATGAGAAATAAGAAGAAATTTTGGCAATAGCTAGACTCACTTACTTCAATCACATCTTTTGTAGATTTTATATATTTATTGATTTATTTTTATTAAATAGAATTAGAAGAGTTGATCCTATAATTTGTTCCTCCCTTTGTAGCCCAAAATGTAGACAGCAAATGCAGTGGCGTGAAGGAAATTAAATGGATCACTTATTTACCGAAAAAAGAAAAATGTGGAAAACTTGTACTGTCATATAAGAAGGATTAGAAATGAAAATAAAACAAGGCAAAAAAACTTGAGAGGGATTGTGGTTATGTCTATAAACAATGAAAAGAACTTTGAGGTCTTATAATAAATGAAATAATGATTAAAACCTCTCAAAATTAATACCAGTTAGGGGGAAAAAAAACTACACACTTTCCAAAAATGAATTATGCGATTGCTATTAATCCTAATTAGCCTAATGAACAAAGAAATCAAAGTGATTCTTGCATGGATCCCAATGAAAGCCAATTTCATCCCCTCTCTTTAAGTCTCTTCTTATAAAATCTCGGATCCATTTGCCAATGGAAACATAGCTTTTTGAAGAAACCCATCTCTTAAAAACCAGAGAATGCATGTAGTTGGTGTCCACATGACCACATCCCAAATCCTAACTTGAATTTCTCTCTCCGTATGCAGCACCCAGTCCTATGCCAAATCTCTAGCCAACAAGAGTCTGCTCATGTTACCAAGATCATTGTCATGGTGCACTTTCTTGAACTTGCATGGGTTTTGGTAAAGCATCAAGTCCGTTGAGTAGCCTCACCTAATTCTCTCCGCAAGGGGGGCTTTGCAGAAAAGTTTCCTCTTCTTGGAGCAAGAACTAGAGGCATGTGTCTTGATTGTGGTACAAGGACACATATGATACGACCAGTGAACCTACACGAGCCATGAGAGTGAGGAAAGAACCATGACTTTGTGCGTAGGTTAAGCTCAAGAGAAGTAGTTTGTTTAAAAATGGGGTGTACTTGATGAGTTTACAGGCCTGCCACCCTTTGGAGGAAATGAATCAAATGATCACACAATGGTACTAAACCAGTTAATGTGTACTAAACCAGTTAATGTTAAGCATTATAGTCACAAAGAAAAGATTGAACATCGAGTTTAAAAATGGCTCTCTACTGGGTTTATCCAACCAAGTCAGCCCATTTTCATCTCCCATCCTCCTAGTAAATTAAGAAGCATGACAGTTCTTGATACCAATTGTGGATGAGCTACTTACAGCTTCAATATTCACAAAGTTAGATTTGAGAGCCTGATACCATCAAATTCGAGTATTGCCAAAAACTGCATTAAAAACACATCAAGATCAGGGATACCCTTCAGTTCAACTAATACACCATCAACATTTCAAGCAGCCATGAACCTTATGATATTTTGATTTTCAGTTTGTCAATGTCAAAATATATACACCATTTACAACATACACTGACTTGCCTTCAGCAACATCAATTTTTTTTTTTTAATCAAAGTCAGTAAGTGTGCATTCGATGATTACGAGATAGTCCTTTTTTTGGTATATAACTAAACGCCGTGTGTGTGTCTATATATATATATATATATATATATATATATATATGATGTAAGCTCCTTTGACACCAGTGTCAAATTTGAAATTTAACACCTCATCTGAGAGCCGTTAGATCAAAAAAACAATGGTGTCACATGCTCACAAATCAGAGCCATTGATCTTTTTTAATCTAACGACTCTCAGATGAGGTGTCAAATTTTAAATTTGACACTGGTGTCAAAGGATCCTACCTCTATATATATATATACCAATATTCAATTAAAAATCAAATAAGGATGACTGTAAAAGAAATTAATTAAAGGGGAAAGTACTTCTTATGTGACTGCAGAAGAGAAAAAGTGCAGCAACACAGGATACGCGTCTGAATCCTGGTTTTTTTTTTTTTTTGATAGAATCCGCACGTGTATCCTAGTGTTAAAAATTTGCTGCAACTTTTTTCATCAGCAGTCACATGAGAAGCGACGGATCCTTAATTAAAAGGCTAATAACAATAAGAATTGAGTTTAAAATCAAGAATAAAAACTGTAGTCAGGATGCAGTTCACCTCCGATCCTCCCTTATATTCATATATTGTAATTTATAATTAACTAATTGGTTACCTTTGAAAACACATTTTGGATGCGTCTAACTTAGATAAAAACGGTGAAAATATTGCTTGAATTTAGTCCTCGTGAGTCGTGGAAACGATACTCTTACTTAATCACTTTATTACTTGTACGATCGGTATCACTTTATCATTTCTCAAGCTGCTTGAGATAACTTCAATAACTTCATCTCCAGCTACTAAATCATAACCGTATAAAGATGGATCAATAGTGATAAAGAAAGAGAGAGAAAAAGAGAATCATAACCATTCAAAGGTGAATCAATTAATATAAGGAAATAAATAAATAAAACGACGTAATTTTGGGTTGGCCGGAGATATATATATCTCAAGCTACTTGATAAATATTTTTCTCATATATATATATATATATATATATATATATATATATATATATATATATGTGGCTTATTATTTTTCAAGCTGTTTTGAGATAACTTTATCTCCGGTCATTAAATCTTAACTGTACAAAGATAGATCAAAATAACATAAGAATAAACGAAAGCTGGATCATAATCATTCAAAGGTGAATCAATTAATATAACGAAATAAATAAAAGGAGAGAATAAGATAGTCATAACCATTCAAAGGTGAATCAATTAATATAATGAAATAAATAAACAAAACGACAAAAATTTTAGGTGGACAAAAATAAATATATCTCAAGCAGCTTGAGAAATATTTTTCTTATATATATATATATATATATATATATATATATATATATATTATCATGTGTATGGAATATAAATGGGCCCATCATGTGTATGGAATATAAATAGGGGCCTAAAGCCCCCTATTTATACCACAACTCAAAAGACTAACTCATTAGCTAAACTCACCCCTATTCACTTACGAAGCAATTGGACTTGCCTCTTTTTTGTTTATAGAAAGTGTGTTCAAGGCATCAAGTCTTTTTGCTTAACTACGAAATCACACTTCGATGTGCTTTGCTTACATTACACCTCTGGTCTATCAAAGTTTTGTTCATCGTCCAAGAACAAATGCCTCTTCAAAAGAGAATATCGAAGAACTATACAATACTTACTTAACTTACCAATCTTACTAGACAAGACATAAACCAACCCTAGAACTACAAGATGATACCTTAGAAGCGACTGATCCTAACAACAAGTAAAGGCATACCCTCCTATAAAGGAGAGCGGTTTTCCCTCTATTAGAAAACAAGAATGGAAGTCACAGTGGGAAAGGAGAAAGCTCAATCGCGTAGCACAAAACAGTGGGTTTGGGTTCTTGATCTTGTCTTCCTTCAGGCTAAAGCTTCGTGTAAGAACCCGCACCGCTAAATAATTAATAAAATAAGAGTATCGATGCCGGAGCATGGATTTGATAAAGATTATGTATAATTATGATAAGATAATTATTTAGAAAGCCGAATAATACTTAAAGTCGTTTTTCGGATGAAAAGTGCAGATACTTGTTCTGCTTCGCGGTGTAAATGCATACCGATGAAGTATCCCGAAAAATTATAATAAAAATACAGATATTCCTAGAAAAATATCTAGGTCAAGGATATCAAGTTTGGAGTAAGAATAATAAGCGTTGATGTCAGAACTAATACTGGCTACGTATAAAATGCGTACTGGTAAAATGCTGCGAAAATTATAAGAAAAATATGTTAATTCCTGAAAAAATGGTTAGGTCCAGAATATGAAGTTTGAGATTAAAATAATTAATGGAGCTATTAAAAACTAATACTGATGGATTAATTAAGTGCTCCTATATATAGGAATTTGCACAAAGCCTTAGGTCAGAAATTTACAATCCTACGTAGCTGCACTTCACTCCCTCATTGTTGTCACCTTCTCCACACAAACTCCATAGCCTTCAATGCATGAAAACCACCAAGACACCACCTTTTCTATTGATTCTTCCTCTCTAATCTTGTAAACACTTGAGAGCAGACTTGGTGAGGGAGAGAAATCAATTCTTGTGAGGTTGGGAGTTCTGTTTGAAGGTGTGAAGTTGCTGACTTTTTGAGTGGAGAGTGTGAAGGAAATTTCCATTCACTTTGGTGCTTCAATAGGCCATTTCGTGGCCTTGTAGAGTCAGAATTGTAGGGTGGTGAGGACAGATTCAAGACACTTCATTTTTTTGTTTTCACAAGCCTTAAGGTAACCTATGACCATTTCCCTTGAAATTTCATGAATATAGCTAGCTTGTTTGAGTCCTAAAAAAGAGGAACTTTGATTGTTCAAGTTAAGGGTAGTTAATATATGTTTAATAAATGAGAATAAACTTCTGTATGTGGATACATTGGACTCAGAATCATTGGAGGAACCTTAAAACTGAGTTTATGCAGAAACTACACGAGTTTTTGCATTCTGTCTGAAAAGTATTCGAATACTTTTCGTGGAGTATTCGAATACTTGCTTGGTATTTGAATACTCATCAAGAAGTATTGATACCTTAGTAAAAGTATTGGGATACTTTTGGTATTCGAATACTTTAGTGAAAGTATTGGGATACTTAACTGAGAACAAGAAGTATTCGAATACTTATCGAGGATTATTCGAATACTTTTGGCAGATTGAGCCTAAAATCAATTTTAACAAGTTAGGAAGCCTTAAATACAATATATAACCTTAATGGAATTCTAGACTATGAATATTGATGATGTGAATGCTATGAAAACAGATCTGTGACCTTGCTGGACATTGT